GCGACACCTCGATCCACGTGTGACGCCCATGTGCGCTGAAAACAACGCCTTGTTTCCCCTTGGGCAGAGAAGCGCCTCCCTTTGACAAGATCTCCACGAGTACCAGCTCGTAGAGCTCTGCCAGGTCCTCGATATGAACTAGAGCAAGAGATCAGCGTGCGTTTGTGACAGAGATTCGGCGGTAATAGTACCGTTGTCCCACACGCCCTCGCCGTCACCGATAACGATGGCTTCCCCTTCAGAGATCGCCGCTCGGGCCAATCGAGGAACTTGCAGACTACGCTTATTCCACAAGCCCGTTCCAACCTAGACGAGGTGTCAATATCGTGCGGGGCCGCAGTTTGCGGGGAGGCGTCGCTCACCCCGTAGATCAATGGAGACATGAGAACGACAGTCTTCACGCCTGACTCGAGTCCAGCATCTATCATGCCAAGCTCCGTTGTGCGTTGAATGTACTTTTTTACTGTGTTGCGCGACTTCTCATACGCATAGATGTTATCCCTCGAGTCGTCGAATTCCAGATCGGGTTTTGATTCAACGTGAACACCCGAGAGTGGCTGGTCCGCAAGGTTCGAGACACCTGAAGTGTGGACCATCCAAGCATCTTTGCCAGTGGACTTCTGGCGCAACGAAAGACCCTCGATAAAGGCCGCAGCACTGGCGAGATGATAACCGAGCGTCATGTTGAAGATGACGTCGTACTGACTTGCTATCTCGACAAGGCGGTCAGTATCGTCCAGACCTTCGAAGCCGATAACCTTGACCTTGTCACCAAACGCAGCGTGGAGCTGTGCAACTCTTTCTTGGCCTCGAACGAGACACGTAATATCAGCGTCTTTGATCGCTGCATGTTTGCTGCGAAGCAGTTGGTGGAGCACACTGCCCCCAATGTATCCTGTGACGCCGGCAAGCAGAATCCTTTCCCGAGCCATGATTGGAAGATACGACAACGTGATACAAGTACGAGATATCGGCGATGATGATATATTGGCGGTCCGAGGATTGCCTGGGAAACCTGCCTACTTTTGAAGTGATGATTACTAAGAGGGTATTCAGACAACGGCTGGGTCAATACTATGCACCTCGACATACCTGCTCTGCGTGGGCGAAAGACATCATCTTGCCCGGGGCCTCGCACTCCAATGGAGGCAGCGGAGTTCTCTCCGGAACTTTGCTTTGCATCGGTACTGCATTCCCGCCGTTGGAACTTTGTCTTAACAAAGTTTCGCTATTCTCCCGATACGGCCCGCTCCATCGGCATGATAACACATCTAGCTGCTGACGCGGCTGAATACAAACTCAACACCCTTGGTGACTGCACTACACAACTGTAGCATGGAAGAATTTAGAGTCATGCAGCTAGGGCAAAGTCCTTCATCTCAGACACCCATATCTCCGAATAACGCATATGGCATTCATCGGCCTCATTCAACATGATACCTCATGATAGCTGCAGCGGTGCGGGCCGAATACCAAGATCACTGCAAGCAGGCTTCCTACATCCCAGTCGCCTTGATTGTCTGGTGTTCCTTATGCGAAGATAGTTTTTGGCATCGTTCGTGTCGTTAGTATTGCGATAATCAGAGGTGACTCGTGGTCTGTGGGCTACGATGCAAAGAGGAAAAACCGGATGTAATTAGAGTACGACACCACGCGCACATAGACCGTGTTGTCAGCACACACCAAGCTCTCACCGACCTGGGGGCGATCCACAATGACCTGAACCCAGGCCCGGTGCCCAAAGTCAACACCATCCTCGTGGGGTTTGTCACATGTCAGTGGATGTTACCGTATTACGGCAACTACTTGTTTGGTGCAACAAGTGCCGATTGAGATAAGACGACGCAAAAAGCCAAGTCCTGAGCACCCAATAGCCACGGAAAACCAGTCAGCTTACTCTGACCGGCCGTCTAGCTAGCGTCGGCCGACTGCCGAAGTATCTACCTGGATATGACGAGGAACGTGGGCGAAGTCAAACAGAGAATGAAGCTAGAAACACATGCACTGACGTTACGTGCATAGGGCGAACAGTCCTTGAAGTTAATCGACACTACGCTACGTCACTGAGGCTGAGATCCGTTGTATTCGACAGCCTCAAGTCTAGTCGCATTGCCGACGAAACTTGTGCCCATGATGCTTCCGGGTTAAAACTTGTCTGTAGTCTCGTTGAAAGAGTCGGTATATTCACTGAGTCATTTACCCTACTGCCGGTCGGTTTTCGGTACCAGACTTGTGGGGGTCTAGTTTACCCTCCACTGATCAGCCTGCGATCTAGCAACTAGTGTATGGCAATCGTCTGGGGACTCTGTATCAACCTAGCTTTGAGGGTCTCCAGGTTCTAACCACGGCGATCCCCAACGTGCGTGAAATTGGCGGGATCGCAGGGGGAGTGGCTTCGGGAGAGTATTATAGCGATTGATCAAACGACCTGACTATAAGACGCCACTTCCACGTTAGGAGCCGTTGATCCAACGCTTCATCTCAAACCTCTTCATCGTATCTACCTTGATCGCTCACAATGAACGTCTCTACTCCAACTTTTCCATGGCATCTCATGCCGACCATGGACTCTCTCCCTTCTGCAGAGCAGTTCTCCACCATCGAGATGCACCCGCGCAATATAGTCGCAAGTCTCTTGGCCATAGTGATCAGCTTTTCTTACCTTCGATCTGTTACGAAAAAGACTGGCCTTGAGCGCTTCCCCGGACCTTGGTATGCGCCCTATACGGCCCTGCATCTGCGATGGCTCTTCGCTCGTGGCACGATCCACGAATATGTCGAGAAGATGCACAAGCAGTACGGCGATGTCATCCGTTTGGGACCAAGACAGCTCTGGATCTCTGATAAGGGAGCTATGAAGCAGATTCTTCTCACGATTGATCTACCCAAGGTTACCATGTATGCTGAGATCTCGAGAGACAGAAAAAGTCCCGGTCTCTTTGGAGAGATGTGAGTATCAGTCTCCCGTATTTCCTTGCGAAAACGACGGTAGCTGACGCCGAAAACCCACAGCCGCCCCGTTCCCCACCGCAACCTCAAGAAGTTCCTCAGCCCAGCTTTCACTGTCTCTTCTGTCGACAAGCTAGACACGTTCTTCAAAGCGTGCACATCGATCTTGCTCAGCAACTACTACACTGAAGTCGACAAGGCCATCGCTCAAGATGCCAAGTCCAACCCCAACGGCGACTTCGAGACTGACCTTATGCGTGACTTGCACTGTCTTGCGCTAGACATCATGGGCGAGTCGTCATTTGGTAAGGGCTTCGGGCAGATCGACAAGATCTTCGATCCCAGCAAGCTGTTGTCCGGCAGGGACAAGCGCTGGAGCAAGATTCCCGACGCCATCTTCAATGGTCAGGCGAAGAGGTATGGGTTGGTCTTTGTGAAGAGATTCCTCAGGCGCATGGGATATGAGTGGGAGGTTGATTGGCCCAAGGAGATGACGTCTGCGATTTGCGAACTCGTCGACGAACGCGCGGCAGCTCAGGGAGGACACGAGAACAAGAAACGCATCGATGTCCTCCAGCACATGTTGGACGAGGGCGCGCGACCAGACACGGGAGAGCGTATGTCGAACCAGGACATCATCGATCAGATGTCTGAGCTCCTTCTCGCTGGATCGGAAACCACGTCTGGTACGTTAGATTCATCCATGCCCCATTGCCACTCCTTAGCTCCTAGGTTGCGGCCTTCGAGTTTCTCTCTCCACTGCGCATCATAGTAGCTAACGAGGCGCCTTAGGAACCATGGCATGCCTGTTTGTGGAACTCGCACGAACCCCCGCCGCTCTCGAAAAGCTACTCGCTTCTCTTCCCGTCCTTGGCCCCAATGACCCCATCCTAGACTCAAAGACGGTGCGCACAGACCCACAATATCGCTACCTCGAAGCCTGTCTGAAGGAGAACCTGCGTATGAACCCCATTGCCTCGGAACTGGGTCGCCGTACCACAGACCAAGGCCACAACATCAACGGCAACGAGATTCCGCCTTACACGATTGTGTCGGCCAGCTACAGAGCGCTCCATCGTGATGAGAGGTACTGGCCTCAGGCGGAGAGGTTCTGGCCGGAGCGGTGGCTGGAAGGTGAGGAAAGAGAGGACGCACCCGAACCTGAGTAAGTCGCCCTTGGTGATGAGACGAGAGATTCGATGTGGACATTTTCTAACGTGAGATTGTAGTCTGGATGCTTACTTTCCATTCTCCAACGGCCGACACAATTGTATCGGACAAAAGTATGTTACCTTCCCCCTCATCTTCTGCTGCAGCAGCGCACTAACATGCATGGCCAGCTTCGCATACGCAGAGATGCGCACAGTCTCGGCCAATCTTCTTTCTCGCTTTGCTCTCGAGGAGGCTGGATACCAGCAGATCCAACTCCGGCAATTCATCACGATGCAGTTCCATGATGGCAAGTGGAGAGTTGTGCTGAAGCCCCGCTGGAAGGATGCTGCGAAGGCTTAATGCGCGAGCTTTCGCGTCGCTACTGCAGCATGTTGGGGTGGACGGCGTTGAGCAGGAAGCACTCGATTGAAGAACAGATTGAAGAACAGATTGAAAGAAAGGGGAAAGCGCGAAGCAGGACCATTCTCCAGTTTGAGGGCACATTCCTTTTCTCTTTTGGGTAGTGCGACTAGACAGTAGAAGGCACAATTTGATTGATTCCACCACCGACTCCCGTGCTCGTCTGCTTTCTTGCAACATGACATGGCTCTGGACTGAAGCGTGAGGCGAGCGGAGGCAGCGGAGTCAGCGGAGTCAGGCTGCATGAAGGCAAGGATATCGACCCGGGCTGTGGACAGAGGCTCGGGCTTATCTCGCAGCCTGCAGCCAAGGCCGAAGTAGCAGCGCATGCCGTCAGCGAGCGTGAGGCAGCCCTGGAGTGCCGGACGCTAGCGCGCCGCTGCACGGGAGCGCGTCAGGGCAACTCAGCAGCAACAGCAACAGCCTTGTGCACGACACCATGGCCATGGCCACGACCCCGACCCCGACCCGCACACGACATGTCTGAGCCCCGACGGTCGACGAGGGCGCGCGCCCGCGAAGACGCCGCCCCGGCTGCCCCCGACACGCCCAACGACAAGCCCGCCAAAGCCGCCAAAGCCGCCCTGAAGCGCAAGCGGACCAGCCTCGCCGTCAAAGACGCGCCGCCCTCGACGCCCGTTGCTGAGGGCGCGCCGCTGCCCCCGCGACAGACGCTGCCCCTCCAGCTGGTCGACGGCGCGCCGCTGCCCACACTGCGCGAGCCACAGCCCCTCCACCTTCCATCCAGCGAATGGCAGACGATCCAGCAGAGCCGCGTCCTCGAGACGTCCTTCGAGCGCTCCAAGGCTGTCTGGCTGTCTGGCGCCAACTTCCGCACCTTCCATGCCCACTTCAACCAGCCCAAGAAGCTGGCCGACCGCACCGACGAGGACAAGGCCAAGACGGCGAGACAGAAGGAGCTGCTCAAGAACTTCCCCCAGGTCGGTGCCGACCGGGTGAGCGTGAAGCTCGTCATAGAGCCGCACACGCTGCCTATCCGCCTCTACGGCCCGCGCGAGGTGGGCAGACCAGCACAGAAAAAGCCTCCCGCGCCATCGCCCTATGCTCCCTGGCCAAACCACAGCCAGCCCAACCAACACACCAAATACCAGGGTGGCCAGCCCATACAGCAGAAGCCCCAGCCACGCCCACCCCAGCCCCCCAAACCTGTCCAGGCCGCGCCTCCGCCTCAGGCCCCCGCAGCCCCCGCCCCCGATCCCGTCATACACATGCTCGCCGCGAGAGCAGGAACAGATCCCGAGCTGAAGGCTGTCATGAAGATAGTCGCCGCTGGCTCGGCAAGCAAGGAGCAGCTCGAGTTCTTCCAGACACACATCAACGAATTGACGGCGATTCTGGCCAGGCAGAAGGAGGAAAAAGCGCCCAAACCAACTCCGCCAACGCAACCCCCCAAACCTACGCCGCCGCCGCCGCCTCCAGCACCGAAACACACAGCTCCTCCTCCGCTTCCCCGCCCAGTCCAGCCAGTCCAGCAGCCTCTGCAGCCCAGCACGCCCAAGCCGTACAGTCCGGTCCCGCCACAGGGACAGATGCAGCAACCCTCGCCTACACAACAGCCATATCCACCCTATCCGAACAACTTCAGCAAACCGCCGCAATACCACCCGCCGCCGCAGCTATCGACCTACAACCCACCCCCGAGGACAACATATCGCCCGTTGGTCTTCAGTTTTGTCCATGGCAGCGAAGACAAGTTTTACTTCCCTTCGTATAGTTTCATGGAATGGCTTCCCAATGGCACAGGCGCAAAGCTGTCCTTCCTCATCACCAAGATGAAGCCAAGGCCGGATCCAGTCGTCAAACCTCCGTCTGCCTCTGCTCAAAAGTCAATGCCGACGCCAATTCCGACTCTCGGTACTGCGACTAATGCTATGCCTGACGCACCCCCACCGAACGCCATCATACCAACACCCAGCCCCACAAACCCTGCTTTTGCGTCCACACAACCTGCCGCATCAGCCCCCTCGGCAACCTTCGTGCCGCCTAAACCGCCCCAGCGAATCGAAGATTTCGACGAGATGAATGAGATAGACAACATTGAATTCTACCAGCCAGTTACTGTCCTTCTACTAATCGAGCACGATGAAGGCGACGAAATCGCGAGCGCCTTGCCGCGCTCGATACGACCACCGCATGTCGTGGAGAAATACATGAACGAGGTGTTTGATAAGTGCAAAAGGGCAGAGGAGACGTATCTAGCCTTCAGACTGCCCAAAGACGGCGATGAGTTGCCAGAGAAGAGAATAAGGAGCGGCGACGTGACGCCTGCGGTTGCAACGCCGACTCAGGACGTCGCCATGGGAGGGATGGGTGGGTCTGCCAGTAGTATGGCAGAAAAGAAGAAAGCTGGACGGCCTAAGAAGAGTCTTGTATGAGATCGTCTGATCGTGTGCCGATATTGTGGAAACCTTGGAATAGTCTTGCGGTGTGTATGAGTACAAATGATACCCATTTCTTAGCGTCAAACTACACACATTCTGCTCCGGTATCGCGTGTCATTGATATACGGTTGCGAGATACGTGAGACGGTATTGTCTGAAGCATGCTCTTCGTTACACATGAGATCCGGAGCTGCCATCGCTCAACTCCGATGCCAAGATCTTCGCTGCGGCCTGCTTATCCTAGTTAGATCACCCGCAGCTGCCTATCTCCATGCATCTGTGCCCTTCGCGCGCTCCATTTCCGCAACGTCACCATAATCCTTTTTGCTTTACCTGAGTCCAGTGCTACGGTCGCAGTACTTTCTCTGCGTCGACATTCCCGACAGTATAAAGTATTTAGGCAGCGCAAGACCACGTCCTGTGACTGAAATCATGCCCAACCTCAAAGCCATCTTTACAAAAGTGTACTGGACATTTGCCATTCTAGGCATTGTCTGGGCCGCGTTTGTGGGCCTATTGGTCAATCCCACGGTACAAAGGCAGTACGTTTTGCTCTCATCATGACAGATGAGATGATGTTTGGAGTCGATTCTAATGTCTTCTCAGCGCTCTCTATGCCCATAAATTTCACACGGGGTTCTACCACAACGTGACGAATCCCGAAGAATTCGGCTTTGCGAGTAAGTGCATCTGTAACTCTTCCTCGATTTGTTCTATCGCTGTACTAAGTACCCATGTGTAGAGGGGCAAGTACAACCCTTTTGGCTTACTACAGCGGATCAAGAGAAGCTCTTTTGCTGGCATGTACTTCCTCTAGATGTTTATCTGGAGAATGAACATGAGCTTTTTACTGCTGCTGTTTCGGGGGAAGTTGCAGAGGAATTGAAGGGAACGATAGGAGAGAAGCTGTTGAGCAGCGACCCGGAAAGTAGGGTTGTGGTCAACTTTCATGGTGTAGGTTGTGCTTTCTTTCGATTCTTGACTTTCGGTTTGGCATGCTGTCCCTTTCTTTCCAGAGTCTTTGGTCTTATCACATCTCAAACTCTCATCTCAGACTATATCGACTCTTCTTTCTTAGTTTTACATGGTTTCTCCCTCATTCTTCCGTCACTTCATCCACCGTTAACTCTTCTTAATATTTCCACCTTATCTATCACTCATTCTAATCCACCCAAACAGAACGCTGGCCACATAGCCCAAGGTTACCGCCCCTCAACCTACCGCTCCGTCTCTGGCATCCCAAAAACTCACCTCGTAACCTGCGACTACCGGGGCTTCGGTCTCTCCACGCTCACACACTCCCCGCATATCCCCACTGAAAGCGGTCTAATAGCCGACGCCTTAAGCCTGATTTCCTACATCACCTCGGACCTCTCTCATTCAAGCACACGCACCGTTCTCCTGGGCCAGAGCCTCGGCACCGCCGTAACAGCCGCCAGCGCGCTCTACTTCACCAATTCCACCTCCGAGCACCTCCCATTGGCCATTACATCCCCATCTGTAACATTCAAACCATCCCGTAACTTTGAAGGTTTCGCCGGCATCGTCCTAGTAGCCCCCTTCACCTCGCTCCCCCAACTCCTCAAGACCTACAAAATCGGCGGCGTTCTCCCCATCCTAAAACCACTGCAAGGCTACCCCAGGATAGCAAACTATCTATCCACTCGCATCGTCGACCACTGGCCCACCCTCACCCGCCTACGCGCCCTCATCTCCACCGCCTCAGCCAACAAGTCCGGTTTCCACATTACTCTCCTGCACGCACGAAACGACCAGGATATCACGTACTGGGAATCTGAAGCGTTGTTCCAGCCACTGGCTACGCAAATGTTGACGGAAGAAGGGGTTGTGGCGGAGGAGGAGAGGAGAACGATTCAAGGGGCGAATAGGGTCAAGAGGGGTGCTTTTGCGTATAAGAAGGTCGAAGACGACAAGGGAGATAGGATGGTGGAGTTGGAGGTTGTGAGGTATGGAGGGCATAATGAAGTGGTGGGGTGGACGCAGGTTAGTCTTGCGATTAGGAGGGCGTTTGTGAGGAAGACGATGAGGCCGGGGTTGGACGTTGAGTAGGTTTTGGAGGAAGGGGTAAGTTACATTGGTTCTACCTGGGTTTGTTGAATTGAAGAAGAAGACGGAGAAGCAGCTGGATGGAGCTGGATGGAGCTGTTGAGGGGATATAATTCGTCGTCATATGGCGGTGTTGTTTACAACATTACATGTACAATACTTCTACACCTTTCTACCAATCCCACAAGAATACGCCAGACGTCCGCCAATGTAGATAAATCGATGTATGTCATCAGCACTCGAATCATCCAGGGAGCTCGTTGTACCAACACCGAGCTTTTCCACGGCCCCTATCCTGTTTCAACTCCGATTGAGCTTAGGAGGCTAATCTTACGCATTCCTAGCCTGCTGTTCCTTCTCGTACTTTGCCACAAGCTCCTTCTGCAGCTGCGGCGGCGCGGGACTGTAATGGCTAAACTCCATGCTAAACTCCCCCTTACCCTGCGTACTAGCACGCAACTGGCTGCTAAAGCCAAACATGCTGTTCAAACTGCAATCCGCATAGACAGTAAAGTCCTCCGGACCAATCTCCGTATCGTTGATAACAGCATTGCGCTTATTCAGAAGACCAACAACAGAACCCTGGAACTCATTCGGCGCCGTGATGGTCGTCTTCATAAGCGGCTCAAGTACCTGAGGCGCACCGGCCTGGAAAGCTTTGCGGAAAGCTTGCTGGGTGGCCATTTTGAAGGCCATTTCCGAGGAATCGACAGCGTGGGTAGCTCCGTCGTTGATGATCATGGAAGTACCCAAAACCTTATGGCCGAGAAGCGGGCCCTTGGCCGTGGAGGCCATGAAGCCCTTTTCACAGGCGAAGAGGAACTTCTCGGAGATGGTGCCTCCGGAAATCTGTTGCTCGAACTTGTTCTCACCAGCAGCTTCGCTTGGCTCCATCCAGCCGACTACTCGCGCGTAATCTCCTGACCCACCACTCTGCTTCTTGAGCGTGTGGTCGAAGTTGACGCGCTTGGTCATTGTCTCGCGGTAGGCGACTTGTGGTTGTCCGGTTTCGCACTCGACGCGGTATTCGCGGCGCATGCGCTCGACATAGATGTCCAGATGTAGTTCTCCCATACCGGAGATGATGGTCTCTTGCGATTCGGGGTCGGTATGGACTCGGAATGTAGGGTCTTCGCGCGTGAAGCGGCTCATGGCTTTGCTAAAGTTGGGTGTGTCTTTGGTGTGCTTGGGCTTGATTGATAGGGAGATGACGGGTTCGGGTACGAACATGGAGGTCTATCGTGTCAGCTTGAAGATATGATAACAATAGTCTTAAAGTCTTACCATGGTGTATCCAAGATTACCGTCAGTGAAGGTATCTCCAGACGCGCAGTCAACACCGAACACGGCACAGATTTCTCCAGCACCAATTTCCTGGATTTCCTCCATGTCGTTGGAGTGCATGCGCACAATCTTCGGTATTCTGACCTTCTTGTCTGACCTCGCGTTGAATACATTCATTCCCTTTCTGAGCGTACCCTGGTACACACGGATGTATGTCAATTGTCCAAAACTACTTTCTTCTAGCTTGAAAGCCAGACCGACAAATGGCAAAGAGTTGTATGATACCAGCTTGACCGGTGCCTCTGCTCGCTTCTTGTCCAGTGCCATGTTCTCGACTTCGGAGGGGTTTGGTAGGTAGTCGCAAACAGCGTCGAGCATTGGTTGGACGGATTTGTCTGCAAGCGCGGAGCCCATCATAACCGGGGTGAACTTGAGGGAGATGGTGGCTCGTCGAATCGCAGCCTTGATCTGGTGAATTGTCGGTTCCTGCTCGTCCAAGAAAAGCTCTGCGATCTCATCGTCGACATCTGCAAGTGTTTCGATGAGCTTCTGCCTCTTCTCCTTGCAGAGCTCAACAATATCCGCAGGTATCTCGTCGGTCTCCCTAATGGTCTCGCCCTTGGGTCCTTCATTGTAAATCGCCTTCATCCTGACCAGATCCACAACACCCAAAAAGCCATCCTCGCGGCCGATGGGTACTTGGAGAGCCGCAGCCGGTATGCGAAGCTTCTGGTTGATCTGTTCGACAGCCTTCCACGGGTTGGCTCCCATACGATCCATCTTGTTCACAAAGGAAATCCTTGGAATGTTGTACCGCCTCATCTGCCTGTCGACTGTGATGGTCTGACTTTGCACTCCGCTGACAGCACACAGGATCATGACGGCTCCATCAAGGACTCGCAGTGCTCTCTCTACCTCGATTGTAAAGTCGATGTGGCCTGGGGTGTCAATCAAGTTGATGTGGTATTTCTGGTCCTTTCCTTCATCGTCCTTCTTGATCCAGTCACAGAAGGTCGCAGCAGACTGGATAGTGATGCCCTTCTCACGCTCGAGATCCATAGAGTCCATCTTGGCACCCACAGCATCTTTGCCGCGTACCTCGTGTATGGCGTTGATTCGGCCGGTGTAGAAGAGGACGCGTTCGGTGGCGGTGGTCTTGCCGGAGTCGATGTGTGCTGCGATGCCGATGTTTCGCACTCGCGATAGTCGCTCCCATTCGACAGGGTCTAGGTTCTCGACGATTTTCTCTTGCGTCAAGGTAGAGGGGTCTTCCTTTGCTTGCTCCAGCCTATGACGTTCAATCAGCCTTCCATTGCTCTCTGGCCGTCACAGAACAAACATGGCAGCACATACACTTGCGCAGCTGCAGACTGCCATCTTCGTTGTGGCTTCTTGGTGTGGCTCCCTATCCATGTGTCTGTCTTGGTGCCGTTGGTATAGGGCGTGCGCGTTGCCGCAATGGTCGAAAGAGCGCATCGTGAAGGCGTCGCAACCGAGCGTGCTGAAGAGCGAAGACTGCTCGTGGCAAGTGATTGCGCCCGGAAAAGAGACTGAACCCTCATCTTGAACAAAGGGGCGACGCGGGGTCTGCTGTCGCTTCGCAATGTCGAATTGCCCGCCAGGAAAAAGTTGGGCCATCGGAG